CCACTACACGCACATACACAAAGTAACTGGATTACAGACACAAAATACTGCCATAACACACAAACGACCTCGTTAAATTGAAAGCTGGTGCCGCAATTTACTATCTTTGCCAAGTAATATGTTCATACATCTTTCAATTAGGCGGGCTAAGATATATTAGTGTGAGATAGACAACACGAATATATGTACACTAGTATTATCAATTGGTTTTGGTCTAATATCAGTAGCGGCAGCTTATTTGATTTGTCCGGAATACGTGTGAATGATATGCGTGCAAGTGTATTTAGCGTGGGTGCGTGTAGTGTGTGCTGTATGTACGCAGAGCCTATAGTATTTATATGCATACATCCTAGTGACAGGTGCATACAGGTATCCTCCATGATACAGTTTTTTAAAGATTAACTTCATGCATGATCCACACAAAATTGCTCTTTACATTGGCACTATCAAGCGGGTACACCGAACAAACCCAATCGAGCAATACCGCGCTATAACTTTAATCTCCTAAACTTGGCGATAAACAGGCCACTTGTCTGTGTCACCAGTGGATCGAAACGCAGCACATGTGGCAATGCGTGCCCTGGGAAAGGTAACCTCCCGCATTGGCTCTCACTCGGTAATTCGGCCGTACTCCGGTCTTGCCTACCTTCATTCGGCTCTGCACTATGGATTGTACTGCCTGTGGTTGGATACAATACGTTGAGCAGACAGCATGGCCTCTAGACCATTCGGCATGTCGCAGTAGTTGCAGGTGTGTGCTTACGTTTGAGGGGCAGGTCTTTAGCACGGCACACGACTGCTCCAACGTCCAATACAGTCCGCAAAGTTTACCATAGCTTATACACAGCAGCATTGGTTGCCCCGAGTAGCAAGTACAAACCTTGTGGTAGAATATAAATGGACACACCAGGAAAGTAGTTCACAACACATACCAGCAACCACCGGTAGGTTTGGCAGATCAATGGGCACCAACTCGATGTGGGCCATCGTTTGGAGAGCGTGTAGCACCACATCTTCATTCTGTGCACGGGTTAGACTGCATGTGCTGTATACAACGTACCCTCCCGGACGCGTCTGCGCAAGTGTATATGATATGTGGGAGATGGGAGATAGAGAAGTGTATGTAATATGAGGAAGGTCAGAGATAGAGAAGTGTATGTAATACGAGGAAGGTCAGAGATAGAGAAGTATATGTAATATGCAGAAGATGAGAGATAGAGAAGTGTATGTAATATGCAGAAGATAAGATATATAAAAGTGTATGTAATATGCAGAAGATGAGAGATAGAGAAGTGTATGTAATATGCAGAAGATAAGATATATAGAAGTGTATGTAATATGCAGAAGATGAGAGATAGAGAAGTGTATGTAATATGCAGAAGATGAGAGATAGAGAAGTGTATGTAATATGCAGAAGATGAGAGATAGAGAAGTGTATGTAATATGCAGAAAATGAGAGATAGAGAAGTGTATGTAATATGCAGAAGATGAGAGATAGAGAAGTGTATGTAATATGCAGAAGATAAGATATATAAAAGTGTACGTAAAACGAGGAAGGTCAGAGATAGAGGGCCTCCATACAATGTATCTTCCTGCACGGGTCTGCGCAATAGAATTGATCTAATGGCTACGGTAGCGTTATATATTCTTCTAGAGAAGAGGTCAAGTCTACTTCTGAGGATCACTAAGGTTTAGGGTTTCAGGGTTTAAGTGTAGAAGTGTTTTAGGGTTAGGGTTTAGTAATATGCGGAAGGTCAGACATCGAGGGCCTCCGGAGAGATGCATGCCATGGTACCACTGTGAGCGATACACACAGAATGCACCCACATTTCAATCCTCCTCTATACAATAATAACTAAAAGGCAATAGATAGACAATAGTCAATCCCACAGTAGTAGTTAGGCCTAAGTGAACTAAGGGCCTTGTATTCAATGGCTCATACGACCGCATGCCATCGAGATGTGTATTCACACCACTGTGGCACAGTATGCGACAAACACACTGAGTTTAGGTAGAACACGTGAACAGTGCCAATGATTCGGTGCGCCGGATGCACACATACAGGTGCAAAACCGTAGGCGACAAGAATACTGCAACGTTGAGTAGCGCATTCGACATGATTAGGTATCGTAGATGTACCATTAACCCTGTATTACCAAAGTGATTCAATACTAAAACCAAAGACAAACAACACACAGGCTCCATAACCGTCCTGGCGTGTATATATACCCTTACAGCACAGCAAGCGATAGCCACACTACATGCATATGAAACAACCACGTACACTACTCACGTTCATATACGACACAGCCGTCTGCATACCATGGCCACACCGTGCGCGAGAAGACGCTTCTGCATAGCCACGATGCCGTTGACTACCTCCTCATCACCAATGAACTCGTGCACAAACTTGTCCCATCCGATGTCTTTGCATTTGATCAGATGTTTTAGAGAGCCGTCGTGCGTGCATTCGGCATCGACCAGCACCTGTGGTGAAGCAGTTGAGAATGTACACACGTGGTGAGTAGAAGAATGCGTTGGCCAATGGATTGTTCACTTGTTGCTGAGGCGTTTCTGTTGTGTACATTGTTGGTGCAGTCCAGAATAGGGCCAGAATTGGCGAATATTAAACCCGTATGCGTATGCATGTGGTGGATAGGAAGTGTGTGAGGCTACGCTACTCTTTGTCTTTGCTCAGGTGCCTCTGCGAGCTGTCTAGACTATATTCTGCATCGACCAGAGCATGTGGATATATGTACACGTAGCCGTATGCACACTATCAGTAGTCAGCGTGGGAGACTAATAGATCGACAAAACCTTCCGAACCTTTCCGTGTCGAGTGATACGAATGTGTTGGGTGTACGAGAATGCTAGTGATAGTAGCAACCACGGTACCGTGTGTATGTGCAGCTAGTGTTGGTATGTAGATACCACATAGTGTGTGCGCAAAGCCAAGTGATAGTTCACGCGTAGGCCCAGACGGGCTGGTTACTATCATGGCAGCGGTTACTTGGCCGTTGACTGGCCGGGTGAGCAATACATGTGGATGTGCATATATATAATTCATTGCAACTGACAGCCACATCGTGCTACCATAGAGTTCAGCACAACATATCGATTAGCTTGTGAGCCCCCCCGATACCTCTACATCATGTGTACTCTATGGGTCAGTATGACACATTCAGGCACGCCGAATTCGCGAGAGACGTACTGCTTTCGGGAGCACCGAGTCTCCGTATCTAGATCTGGATCTAGAGGTAGATTCCTTACAGAGTCGTAGTATGTCCGTTATGGGATTGTACCCCCTTCCCGTGGTTGGGATATCGATAGTCAATATGACCGCGGCTGTGGGTGTAGCTATAAATACACACTAATTTATACCATTACACACCAGTTCAATAGTAACAATCTCTCTGAGATACAACTAGCGCTCTCGCGTACAGTAGTCTTCCGACCACACTTATTTATACCATCACACACCAGATCAATAGTGACAATCACTCTTAGATACTTCCGGAATACCAAGTAGTATACTACGCCGTGGATAGGGCAGCAGTACAAGAACACGTGCATCGCACAATGGCATTGGGCAAAGCTGGCGACTGCCTGCGACGAGTACAGCTAATTTCCGCAACTTTTGTGAACAGAGTCGTCTGCTATGTATCTTCGATACGGCACGTACGCACTATCTGATGTCCCTCTCAATATGTGTACGAATAAACGTTTTCTCCACCAACGAACAACCAGACATAGCACAGCGCATTCAAACTTTAGTTTCGGAATTTATAGTTGGCTCGTACATATAACAACATTTGTGTATGCTACCGTATACACCCCGGACCCGCGAAACAGCCCAGAGTCTATATCATACCCATTTAAAGCATACGGCAACAATACAGCCTAAAGCCTATAT